TTTCAGTATCTTTGGGTGTGAAGATTGAGTGTGACTGTGCCAGAGTGTCACACACAGATAATGCTGCCAAGTGGACTTTGAGAGAATTAAATGATAGTTTTGCCTGTTTCAGGAACAGCATAGTCTAGGATCTTCAGTGTTGCTGCCTCAACTGGGTCCAAACCATGCTGGGCTGCCCATATAGAAAATCTTTGAGGCATAAGTCTTCCTGGTGGAGGATTTTCTGCTTTGTATGGGAATCTTTTGAACCTATAGGGAGCAGTCTCTGTCAGTACTGTTCAAACAGCCAACAGCTGAGCCATTAGGTGTAACAATGGCAGGTCTGGCTGCTGACCTTGATTCTATGATATGTCCAGGCAGGCCAGGAGGTGAATGGGATGTCACAGGGCCATCTGTAGCAGGTCTGACAGCCAAAACTGTCTTGGCCAGTAAGAGTCTACCAGGATGTCTGTAACCTTGTCCCTCCTGATCTTGGACATTATCCTGGAGAATTGGTGGCAAGGCACATATGAATCCTCCAGATTACTGCAAAAGAAAAGCATCTGGCAATAATCCCAGGCTCACACCTCTTCTGGAACAGAAATTCATGCATTTGACATTGTCCCCTGTGGTGAATAAGTCTATTATGGGGGTAGAATATGAGGTCTATGATAAACTCCTTCAGTGACCCCTTGTGGTTGGTCACTGGGTGACTGCTTAAGAAGTCTGCCAGGCCTTCACTGAGCCCTAGGAGGTTTAGACCCAGTGGGATTATCCTGTGTTGATGTCACCACTTCTATAGCCTGATGGTTTCTTGGCAGAAGAGGGGATGATCAGGCCCTTCCTTGTTTGTTTACATAGTGCATCACCATCATGTGTTGCAGGATTTGCACTGCGGAGTTCCACAGAACAGGCAGGAATGCTTTGAAGGCCAGTCACGTCTCCCAGCTCCTGGACATTCATGTGTCATCTCAGGTCATCCTGAGATCGTGGCCCTGAATCTGTAGGTGGTTCATCTGGGAACTGCAGCCCACTGAAGCATCTGTGATAAGCGTCCTTTGGGGAGGGGACAGAGAATGGGACCAGAGGCGGCAATGCCGGTGCAAGTGGCAGCACAAGTTTCTTTCTTGACACAGTTTTTTCTGCACTAGTCTTCAACAGAGACGCTGGATAATGGCGGCTTGTATACTCGCAAGATCTCACGGCCTGATGAGACTCATGAATTGTTCCAGAAGACGGAGTTTGGCCCCGTGTCCCCCTAAACAGAAGAGGCACCTACTAAGTCCGTCTTCTAAGGGGATTAGTCCATAGCAGGATGGATAGGGTGTGAAGCTGGTAGGTTTAGGTCTGCCAAGTCAAGGAGCTCTGGGCAGGAAGGTGTGTACAGCGGGATCTAGCTGTTGATACTCATAAGATGGGTTGATATGAACGCAACAGTCAAATATTAAGTTAATCAAAAGAGTTCTGAAGAAATTCAGAATGTTTAGCCAAAACTAAGAGCTAGTGGGTTAGAAACCTGGAGATTCTGTCTCACTGCAATAGATAAGACGACGGAACTGTGGGAGGGTGCAGTCACTTCACTCTTTATGCCTTTGCATAGGAGCATGAGAAGGCAGATGGTACATGTGCAGCCCTGACAGACACTGCTACTTTAAACTGTCCAGTCCAGTGCACATGAGGCACCTTCAGTGGCCCTACACTGACATATACTTGAAGAATGTTAATTTTTGTAAGCTAGCAAAGCACTAAAAGGTCACTCCGCTGCACAAGGACACAGATAGCAAGAGGGAAGCTTCCATTTTCCACGCAAGATTATTATTAGAAATTTCAAGAACCATAGCTCAGCCAGATGGTGATGTAATTGGGCTGCCAAACATCTTGCTAACGACTGTCAGTCAGAATGCTAATGCTGTGACTGCTACATGTGGGATCAAATGTTCAGCGTAGTAGATCCCTCCATAACACCACCTCAAGCGATTGAACAACTAAGTATGAAAGCCAGGGGCAAAAAAAATCTCTCCTGCACCACTTGCTTTTTACACATCTTGGAACAAGTTACATGCTTAATTGAGCTTTGCTCTCCTACCCCTATTCCCAATCCCGCAAAAATCTAAACAGCATAAAGAGTTACAGGAGCTAACAGCATCCTGCTTTTCAAAAGTTTCTTAGTATTTACACTATGATGCGTCTTACTTGCAAAAAGGAAAGTAATTAATTAGCTGCCAAAACCCCATGGGTGCTGATGTCAGCCAACTGTCTATTTAATGAGGACCAATTAGTTATTTCCTTTCCTGTGACAGACCTTACAGAAGTCAAAGATCAACTATTCTTGTTTTCCTTGGTTTCAGAGTAACAGCCGTGTTAGTCTGTATTCGCAAAAAGAAAAGGAGTACTTGTGGCACCTTAGAGACTAACCAATTTATTTGAGCATGAGCTTTCGTGAGCTACAGCTCACTTCATCGGATGCATACCGTGGAAACTGCAGAAGACATTATATACAAACAGAGACCATGAAACAATACCTCCTCCCGCCCCACTGTCCTGCTGGTAATAGCTTATCTAAAGTGATCATCAAGTTGGGCCATTTCCAGCACAAATCCAGGTTTTCTCACCCTCCGCCCCCCCACACACAAACTCACTCTCCTGCTGGTAATAGCCCATCCAAAGTGACCACTCTCTTCACAATGTGTATGATAATCAAGGTGGGCCATTTCCTGCACAAATCCAGGTTCTCTCATTCCCTCACCCCCCTCCAAAAACCACACACACAAACTCACTCTCCTGCTGGTAATAGCTTATCCAAAGTGACCACTCTCCCTACAATGTGCATGATAATCAAGGTGGGCCATTTCCAGCACAAATCCAGGTTTTCTCACCCCCCCACCCCCATACACACACAAACTCACTCTCCTGCTGGTAATAGCTTATCTAAAGTGATCATCAAGTTGGGCCATTTCCAGCACAAATCCAGGTTTTCTCACCCTCCGCCCCCCCACACACAAACTCACTCTCCTGCTGGTAATAGCCCATCCAAAGTGACCACTCTCTTCACAATGTGCGGAGGGTGAGAAAACCTGGATTTGTGCTGGAAATGGCCCAACTTGATGATCACTTTAGATAAGCTATTACTAGCAGGACAGTGGGGCGGGAGGAGGTATTGTTTCATGGTCTCTGTGTGTATATAATGTCTTCTGCAGTTTCCACGGTATGCATCTGATGAAGTGAGCTGTAGCTCACGAAAGCTCATGCTCAAATAAATTGGTTAGTCTCTAAGGTGCCACAAGTACTCCTCCTTTTGTTTTCCTTGAGGCCTTTTCTTTATAGCCACCTACAATTTCTAGAGCAATATACTCCCATTGATACAACAGAGCGTACACAGAAGAGCTAAATGATGTGGCTGATTGGTGGAGAAGGATAACTTACAGTATGTTATAAATATACGGGAAAACCTTATTTCCCTTATTTCTAAAGAGGAGAAATTATTCTAGAGTAAAATAGCTTTTGTTCTTGAATAGAGTATCCAGATGGGGAATTACAGCAAAAAAGCTATAAAGGAATATATTATTTCCCCTTGTGTTGAACCTAAACTCTGAATATGTTCAGAGGTTTGACTAACACTATTTTTTGAAGTTCTGTGCAGTACACTCTGCATTTTATTAATGGTTTATGGCCTTCTAGGTGTTAAAATTAATACTGCATCTTTATTGAGTCAATAAATTAATATTTCAGAAATGGGGAAAAAATCACATATATCTGGAAAACAATTTCAACCTTTTCTTAGCGACATCGTCAGGTGGAATTTTAGGATCACAGGCTTCAAAATTTCTCTTTGTTGTCCTTTTTTTTCCTTCACTAAGTCTCACATCTGAGAACTGTACCGAATTGTATACTGAGGTATCACGTACTAGTGGAAATTTGGTAATAACAGTGGTATTCGAGACTTTTAAATTTGATAATAACAATGGCATTCAAGACTTTTAAAGATGGGAAAAGGAGAATGAATAGAGGATGACAGTAGTGAAGAAAAATGTATACATGGGACATAGGAGGTGTAAGCTGGTAAGAGAATAGGAGGCAGGAGAGAACAGAGAAATTGGGAGAATAGAGGAGGAAACACATCTTGTTGCAATCATTTTTTCCCCTTGTACCCCTCTACTTTAGAAAACAAGTCATTCTCTTATTCACCCAGAACAGAGCCAGAGACAAGAGAGCTGGAAGGAACCTACAATATTTTTATAGACAGAGGTAACATTTTAAAATAATAACATAATGCTATGACTTTGATATCCTCAATTTGCTATGGTTACTCTTGTTTTTCACTAAAATCTCTAGGGGACAAATTTGCAAAGGAACCACCTGCTAAAACATGAATGGACACACTAAGTCTCCTACATAACCCCCCCAAAATACCGTGAGTTTCCTAACGGAACTCTTTAGTATAGGCAGAGATGGCTTTACCTAAATAAATCAAAAACATCCTCTATGCTTATTCAAACATAACTGGGTGCAATAATGAAAGAAGAGTAAAACAAAATCTTTGTGATAAAGCAGACAATTCATTTTAAGGTGATAAAGAGGGGCAGGCCCTTTGTTCAAAATGCTCCCACTAAATCAAACAAGACAGCACAGAAATTTAATCAGAGTGGCTTTGCAAAAATTCTTCTTCTCTCCTTTACCCCCCTCCAAGATGTGAAGCAGAAATATAGAGAGCTCATTAAAATACCTGACTGGGTTCTCATTTTCCTGTATTACTATCCACAGGAGTTTTCTTATGCAATTCATAAAGGTTGGTGATTTACTTCCCCTCTTTGCTGAAGAAATAAATCATGAATTAATCTCATGCTTTGGATTCTAATGCTATGCTTGACTTCCTTGCTTCTCTCTCTAGTAATGCTTGTGTTTTGCTGCAGAATAAATATGAATATAAATGTAAATATAATGGAGAGGATAACGACCATTTAAAATGCATTGAGGGAAATTATCACCACCATATTGTACAGAAATCAAATGAGCATCCATACCTAATCGGTTGGACGGGTTCCTTTTGAAGAGGGCTCTTAGCAAACTTTGGGCTTCTATGCTCAAAAACTGAGGCATTCCTAGCTTGGCTCTGAAAGAACAGAACACTTGAAAAGAAAAAAATATTTTTCAAAAAATTTCAAATCCACACCTGCATTTTATAACTGAAATTAATTGGGACATGCAGAAACCCATACACATTTGTCACCAAAGATATAATACCTAGACAGATTAGACAGCCCACAAATGGAGGGGACAGTCCTGCACCCATCGAGGTTAAAGGAAGTTTTACCATTGATGTCATTGGGCGCAGCTCCTGACTGGAAGCACATAACACCATGTTATAGTTAATGTTGCTCAAGGGTTACTAATGCTAAGAGATCATTTTCAGCTATTTATAATCTTTTTTCAGTTTTACCTTTCTGGATTAAATTTGGCAGATTTGTTCTCAATCCAAGAGCAAACTTTTTGGAAAGTTTGACCCCAAATGGCCTAGACATTTTCAAGAATGAAGAGAGTGACAATAAAATACACTTTTTGCATTATTAAAAATTGTATTTGTTTTTTAATAGCTCTGATGCTTCAGTGTTGGATGGCAGAAATAAGAAATTTGGCAGGGACTGTGGTTTCGATCTTGCAAACATTTATGCGCACGCTCAGCATTAAATCAATGTCAGGTTTGCACAGGAAAGGACTCGAAAGTCAGGAATGACAACGTGCAGGTTGTCTGTACAACTTTAGCTCTGCAACCTTTAATATATGCATCATCATACAGTCTTTTATTACATGGCCACATATATTTTTTCTGCAAGGCCACCCCCTCAATGGAATGCTCATAGACCAGCAATACAGTTTGTAGTTATTTACTCTGGGTGAATCACTTAGGGGATTTAGGCACACCATAACGCTGACATTAGTAGGAGATGCACATCTAACTCCACGTGCAGCTTTGAAAATCTCAGCCTCTATGTATATTTATTCTTGTTCTATATACTTTATGCAGTTAAATGTACTTAGGATCAATGGCCCATCCAAGGAACAGAACTAACACGTACGTAGTAGATAAACCAAACAGACATTACTACTTACTTGAGAATGAGAGCCATTGTCTCCTTTCTGTCTTTTCCCTGGAATGGTAATGACCCTGTCAGCATCTCAAACTGTAGAATAACAATAAAAATGGTAAATCAAATAAGCACATACAGTATTTATATAAGATTCCATCTGACAGTGCACCATACTGTAATACTTTCCATTATCTTGTTTTCTATTAATTTCAAACACCAATGAGTATTTTGTAAAAATGTACTGTTTATGCCAAAAAAGGTCTAAAAAACTGTAGCTATACAAAAAGAGATTTTATTATGGCAAGCCCATTTCTACAGTATTGGACATCAGAGACCAGCACTATATTTCAATTCAAAGAGCTGCCTAAGGAACTGTTCACATCAGTAGCGTGGAGTATCATGCACTAGTTGAGATGCACAAAAGTCTGGTGCTCATGGGTTTGCATGATTTTTTTTTCCATCTGGGTTCATACCCCCATGATTTTTGCTTTGAGTTTCAGGTTTAAATGAACCCACAAACTCAAAGTAAAAGCCCAGAGTGGTCATCAATTTTTGCCTGCCATCCATCTGAAAGCATCAGTCATCCAACATTCCTCTGAAATGCAGTGATTCTTTCAGCAACCCTGACTGGAATGTCACATTTGTAACAAAAGCCCAAATCAAGGGAGCTTGCCTGGTTGGAATTGAATTCTGAGAGTTTCACACAGGGCTAGTCACCGCACTGTTTGCATGTACAAGTAGTAGCTGATTCCCCATGATAAGCAATGATGGGTATTGTGTACTGGAAAACAAGGATCAGGGACATAATTCAGCTCTGCCATCAATGAGGACAACTTCCACTGAGGTCAATAGGCATTCTGTCTGCTTATGTCAGGGCCAAGTAAGGTCTTGGGTCTTTTAACAGTAAATAAATATACTGTTTAATATTTGTGGTTATAGTTAAGCTCATATTTACAAGTGCCAGATTCTGTCACCCTTCTGTTGAGTTGTACCTTACCAGAGGAGTAGCTCCTTTGATTTCTGGGGGACCACTTGTGCATTAAGGTACTATTCAACCTTAGCTGGACTCCCCCCCTTCCAAATTAAATAGATCAATAATTCCCCTAAGTACTTCATAATAATACTTAGCACTCACAGTGACTTTATAAACCTTTCTCTCTCAAAGTATGTTATAAAAGTGGGCAAGCCTCATTGTCCCAACTGGGGAAACTGAGGCACAGAAAGGCAGAATGATTTGCCCAAGGTCAAAAAACAAGCCATTGTCAGAACTTGTAGCAGAACCCAGGTCTCGTGGCTCTCAGTCCAGAGGCCTGAGTGCTAGAAGATCATGCTTCGTTCTGTTTGCCTTTCTTTAACCTACATTTTTAATTACCTTGTGCTAGTTAGTAAATATTAGTTTAGGAGTATTCAGGACAGTGCTAATGGCCTGTGATGGGATGTTAGATGGGGTGGGATCTGAGTAACTACAAAGAATTCTTTCCTGGGTATCTGGCTGGTGAATCTTGCCCATATGCTCAGGGTTCAGCTGATCGCCGTATCTGGGTTTGGGAAGGAATTTTCCTCCAGGGCAGATTGGAAAAGGCCCTGGGGATTTTTCGCCTTCCTCTGTAGCATGGGGCACAGGTCACTTGCTGGAGGATTCTCTGAACCTCGAAGTCTTTAAACCATGATTTGAGGACTTCAGTAGCTCAGACATAGGTGAGAGGTTTATTGCAGGAGTGGGTGGGTGAGATTCTGTGGCCTGCATCGTGCAGGAGGTTAGACTAGATGATCATAATGGTCCCTTCTGACCTTAATATCTATGAATCTGCTCTGCTTTGATTAACACAAATGATGATTAAATACTAAATTTAGTTTAGAGTTATACTCATATCCATTTCAGCAATTTAAAAGACATAAAAGGGAAAACATAAAAGCCCTAAGGAATGGCTGCCCGGTGTTTTAAAGGATAATGGCTTTTTAAAATCTGTACAAAACTCCCAATGATTAAAAAAACCTAACCCATGGGAAGTTCAAAAAATTACTATTTTTTTCTCCCTGAAATTTAGAAAAATAAAAGCTAAACCCTATAGACTTCAATGGGGCAACACCATGGCACAGAGTTCCACCAGCAGAAAGGAGGGCAGAATTTGAATCTCTACATCAAATTTCAAGATGTGAGGCAGGAATGTTTCTTGCTGGATACAATATGTTTTTCCTTTATGAGAAATGTGCATATGGCAGGTAAGAGAACTTCCTATGATAAAGAGAGATGAAACAGAAATATTCAGACAAGGTAAAACTCCAGTGAGATCAGGGCATTTCTTAAAATTGAAACTCATTGCAAAGTGCCATTGTACTAGATTTACGTCCTGTGGTATCTTAACATCTGCTCTTCAAAGCTGACGTTGCAATTTTTATCAAATAAATATTCTGACTTTTGTACACATTTCATTAAATATATGCTAACTGGCTTTGTCTTCTCTCATCAGCACCTCATTTTAAACTCTTAACAGTGGCTGGGGCTATTTAGACATTATTGCTTGAACTTAAAGTCTTCTATTCTGTATAGACATTTAAATCAGGTCACCTAAAAGTGACAATTTATCAACCACACTGAAACATTATGCATATTAAATCTTCAGTTCAGACATGGTTTCTCTAGCACTAAGCAAATAGAAACCCAGCTTAATTTCACCTCTGAGACTCACAGCACAATGCATTTGGCAGTGTCTGCATAGCAATAATTCATGAAACCATAGCCTGCAAAACCAAGTTGCCAAGTTACCGGGAGCTAATTTCATTTAAAATGTCCAAAAACATGTACCATTCTATTCTGAAACAGTTCCTCTTCCTTAGTAGCAGTGCTAGCAGTCTGAAGGGGAGAGGTGTGACAGACTAATACATCTCCATAAAATAAATAAATAAATAAATGGTGTCTTTTACCTCTTTACCCCTCTAGCATTCTGGTCATGGACTCTCTAACCAGTCAGCTGTATTTTGCAGTTCCCACTATCATTCAATAAGATGCAATGGTCACTATGAAAAACTTACCAACAGATGCTACAGTATTCGCTATACCAAAACGACTGCATTTCCTGTTTTAAGTAGAGGGAAGTTCTGTGACTAAAAGGGAAAGCTTTCATGCCCATGTCATGTCCGAACTTATAAAGGTCTAGGCACAATCAGAACTATGTCAGGAGGCTATTTGAATGATAAGGACTCCTAAAATTCATTCTTCAGCAACCATAGTCACCAGGAAAAGTACCTGATGATTTAATAACTTGGACCACAGAGTAAACACAATCATTAAATAGTTATAATAGCTCTTTGGGGAGGAGACAGAACGAGAGGAAGGGTTGAGGCTTAACTTTAGTCACCAACAAGCTCGCTGAAGCTACTGAAAACAGGCACTTGAAAGGAGACAGAGGACAATTGTGTGTGGACAATTATAAGCCAGACTCAGAAAACAAAGGGCCAGAAAAGTGAGGAAGGGTGGTTGGCTTGGAGGGTCAGAGAGAAGTAGCTGTTTTATTAGAGGGGAAAAAGATTTTGGGTAAAAGTCACAGAAGTGCCTAAGTGACTTAGGAGCCAATGTCCCATTGAAAGCACCCAAGTCATTTTTAAAAATGAGACTTAAGTACTCTTCCATTAAGTGGTAAGAAAAGTAATATGCATTATACTGAATTGTCCCCATATTTCAAGAAGCATGGATGTTTGGGTATCTAACACGTTATGTTTTTCATGCTTTCTTCTCTTGTGAGCTTCTTGCTCTTAAAATCCTAATTTAAGAAAATTAAAAGTGGCTGCAGTTTTTTTCATTTTGGTATAAGGCTAGCCTGACACATTTGAGGCAGGAGACAGTAATATGAGTGACAGCCTGGCCATTGATCATATAGGAAGAAAAAGACTGCAGCTTCCATTCACAAGGGAGTCCATAAAAAGATCTGTATTTACAGTGTGGGCAGAGAAGGCAAATCAGCCTGAAAGTAAGAGCAGAGTGGTAGCTCAGGAAGCAGGGATGGGGGCAGCTAGGGGCTATGTGCAGGCAGCGGGGCAGCTCAGGGTGCAGGGAGAGGGGTTGCTAGGGGCTGTGGGCAGGTGGGGGAATAGTTCTGGATGCAGGCAGGGGGTAGCTAAGGGCTGTGTGCAGACAGGGGGGTAGCTCAGAATGCAGGGAGAGGGGTTGCTAGGGGCTGTGGGCAGGCAGGGGGGTAGCTCAGGGTGCAGGGAGAGGGGTAGGTAGGAGCTGTGTGCCCAGAGGGCACCCTTCCACAGCATTTGCTGCTCCCTGAGGGCTCTGCCCGCCCAGGAGACGGCACACTGCCTACACAGTGTTCTTTAAAAAAAAGAGAGACATTTGTTGACTGGCATTAGGGAGTTGTGCTCGTAACTCCCTTGAGCACCATACAGAACATTTACCGCAATGTCTCAATCACTAGTACTTTGTTACCGCATTTCTACAATTACATGGTTCTAATATAAAGATGAAATCAAATTCAAAAGACATGCACTTAACATCAATATTTAAAAGTCAGTGCAGTGTGGCTCCAGCACATTGTATGCATCAATGCTTTTTCCTTCAGTGATCTGAATCAAGGCAGGGTCTGGAAGAAAGCATTGATGTTTCTGTAACTGCAATGCCATTGTGTTTAACATAATGTTGGAGAAGGTTAGCAAGCATTAAGTAAACAGAAAAACATCCTTGTAAATTGAAATAGCTTATGTTATCACCAGCTAATGCCACTGCACGGCACACCCCCGGTTTCCTGTTTATTATCAAAGAATTAAGAATTCTGTTCAATACGGAACATGAGACTTGACCAAAGAAGTTAGCCCTCACAGCTGACACCCCTGCACATAGATACACTGCTGCATCTATGTGCAGGGGTGTCACAGCAGATTGACTGGGTGTCAGGCCTAGGAGTAACCAAACTGCAGGATTAGGGTGATGTGAGCTGACACCAAAGCCATCACAGAACCCTGCAGTTCTGCTGAGAGATTCAGACTCCACCCCTCCCAATACATAAGCCATCTCATAGCTTGTTCCTTGTGTACCACCTGCTTTCCCTGCTGGTCTTCTAGGGGGCCCAGTGGCTGTGTCCCTGACATCT